GAATTGTTGAGCAGGGCTGTTGTGGACAGGACATGTTGAAGGGCTGTCACTCATGAGGTCACCATAAGTAGGAGACAACCTAACAGCACCCAACAACAACAGCAACATACATGTGTGTGTGCATATGTAAAATTTCCTGCAGACTGGTATCCTAAGGGCCTGGGCTCCAAAGTGACTGGAACAACCCGATGCGGTAGCCTCTGCCTTTGCAGCATCCCTTGCAGAGAGTGATGCAATACTGGAGGTGAGTAAAGGCACACCCACACACTGGGAAACATTCTACACAAGAAGAACAAGTCCCTGTATGACAAGCATCAAGCCTCAACATTTCACCTATATGAGCAGGAGACTAATCATACTTGAAAGATAACTTTTGAGTGAAAGGAAAGGACATGGATTAGGAAAGGTGGAGTGACCTTAAAATAACTTCTGTTCTATTTATAAAGCTCTACAGTTTTTGCCCACACTTCTTTTCTCCAGCTGGTTTGCTCTCAGGAAATGACTTCATTGTCTAAAGTGTAATTTAGAACTGCTTCAAGTCTTTCTGATGCTGTAAGCTCCTGATTCAGTTATTAAGGTCCTGTAGTACAGAATTTGTTTTGCCCAGAAATGAAGAAAAATTTGTTTGGCCCTCAGTTCTATATGAAGCTGCTGAATGTTTACCTTCAGATTCTGTATATAAAATGGAATGAGTCTCAGAGTATGGCCAAAGTATTTGTTGTTCTTGTATTGTTATGTGTGATCAGGTCATCTTCAATTTATGGCAAACGTGTGAGTAAATATCCTCCAATGTGTCCCATCCACAACAGACATTCTCAGCTCTTACAAAAACAAGGCTGTACCTTCCTTTATGTAATCAACCCTTGTCATACTTGGACTTCTTCTCCTGCCCTCAACTTTCCCTACATTATTGTTTTCTTCAGTGAGTCATGCCTTTTTTTTAGATGTGCCCAAAGTACAACAGCCTCAATTTCATCATTTTTGCTTCCAGGGAAAGTTCTGGCTCAATTTAATCTAGGACTTGCTTGGTCATCTTCCTGTCAGTTCAGGATATTTGCAAAGTTCACCTCCAGCACCATGTTTGAAATACATCCATTTTCTTCCTGTCCACTTTCTTCCCTTTCTGGCATTCACTCCAATACCTAGTGATCTGGAATACATGAGTGTGGATGATCTTGGTCTTGATCATAGTGTTCATAGTGTTTGTGGTATAATCAACAGACTTGACCATTTAGATTCTCCTAGGAGGTATGGATTTATTCCTTGACTCTTCTATGCACAAACCATTTGTGTCTTATGCCTGTGGAAAAGTTTGCTATGGCTTCTGAATAGTTTCTTTGTAGCAGAAAAAAAATTGATGAGGTACTATATCATCACTGACCATGTACAGATACCTTTGCTTGGACTGGTATCCTCTCCCCAGCAGAGGAGTTGTTGGAACTATTAACAGGTCTGTCCTGGTGCTCTTTTCCAGACTTGCTCCAGCCACAAGGCTAATGATATAATACATAGTTCAACACATCTGGAAGGTACAGCGTGGAGGAAGCTGTTCTATTTTTGTCAGCAGCTTGTAGATCCAGTTGTGTGTCTTGGCTCAAGTTCTCTGAGTAAACAAACCATGTACAAGGAAGGAGAGCAAGACAGATTTCACAGGATGAGAACTGAGTACGGCTTTCTAGCTTAAATTGTAATGCCAAAGTGATATATGATGAGAGGCAGAGAATGAGAGATTTTTTAACCTGTGACTGTATCTTACTATTGACATGCTCGTGGGACAAAAGTACTCCTCCCTCCCTTTTTTACCAAATCAAATTGTCATTGTAGTTCAATGAATACCTGGAGATTCTAATGAGGTAATATAGTTTCCTCTCATCTGTCATCAGTCTTGAAATCACCAGATAGCAGGAATGATGAGCATAAAATTGATCAGCAGATAGTCAACAGTCAAATCTTCTTTTATCTACACAGTTTGAAGAAGGAATATGTTTCATTTTCCATCTGTGGATGCCTTCCCATTGTCCCACGCAAACACTTTGTGTAGGTATGGCCAGCTTCATTCCTCTCCTCCACACTCCCTGGCTCCAGTGAGTGAACTGGAGGGGATGATTCCTTATTTGAACTTTGGGCAGAGAAAACAGACAGGAACTACAGTTCTGGCAATTAATGATGGCAACACACATCCCTTCCTAAATTCATATAGTATTGAAGCATAGTGCATCAAGTGAGGAAAAATTCATGTGTCCTAAAAGTTAGCATTTGCCAAGTTTCACCATGGGCTTTCCTCTCTTTATTGATAGTTTTACTTTTCTCCTGAACTGATAAACAAGGATAGTGTTTGTGTCCTTTCAGGAAAAGGATTGGAGAGAGCAGAATGGAATTCTGTAAAATATAGTTTCTACCCTTGTTCCATATAAAAGAGGCTGTAATTAAGCCACTCCAGAAAAAGCCTAACCAGGACCTGGAGGGTGTTAATAAGTATAGGCCAGTGGCCAACATCCCTTTCCTGAACAAGGTGCCTGAGTAGGTGGTGGATGAACAGCTCCAGGCACTCTTGAATGAAATGGATTATCTAGATCCATTACAATCACACTTCACTCACACTTCACAATCACACACTAGCTTTGGAATGGAAACTGACTAGGTCACCCTGTGGAATGACCTTTGCTGGGAGAAAGAACGGGGGGGGGGGGGTTCTCCTGAACCTCTCAGCAGCCTTCAACACCATTGACCATGGTGTCCTTCTGGAAAGGCTGGCCAGGTTGGGAATTGGAGGTGTGCTTTGCAATGGTTCTGCTCCTACCTGACTGGCCAATTCCAGAAGGTGGTACTGGGGAATTATTGATCTGTGCCATGGCAGTTAAACCATGGAGTACCACAGGGATCTATTTTATCCCCCATACTCTTTAACATCTACATGAAACTGCTGGGAGAACTTATCCGGAGGTGTGGGCTGAGGTGTCATCAATATGTAGGCATCCATCAATTAGAAAATCTATTTTCCCACCCATTTCTTAGCAAGTCCTTAATACAATTTTGGATGATGCTTTTTGCAAATAGTCACTAAAAAATCCCTTCAGAAAATGATTGAGATATGTGCCAAGGCTTTGCTAGTATCCACATGTTATTGGCTCCTGGGTAGAGTTAAGTCTTTCTCTGACATCTTTCCAGACAAACATCACCAGTTCTCAACCTAGACGATGAATGGTGGTATCACTGTGCTATCACTGTCAACATTAAATTAATAAAGTCATTTTGGAACTGTGCTGCATATGCAGTGACTTAACAGACACTTAAAGTTTTCGAGGTGATCACTGTCTTTCTTCAGGTCCCCTTTAAGCCTGCGAATCTTGCACTGCAAACCGTATTAGCATGTTGCCATGATGCAGGGAGGTATGCTTCTCTTATGAAGAAAAACAACTAACACAACTTCCAAGTGCATATTCTATGCCTTAATCAGGATATTTATTAGAAAAAGTGCACAATAATCAAAAACATTGTGAATTATATGCAAACTTCTTAATTAGTAAGTAACTGATTCCACAGAAATATAATCTATGGCATCAAGCCTATATAAGTAAAACAAACACATATCAAGTTTGCTGTATTAATTTTAGAGACCTTCTCAGGAGCCCATCAAAATCCAGTGTGGAGTCACCTACATTTAATCACAGTCTTGACCCTTTCATTCATTACAATAACTATTTTTGTTTTTCTGAAACAATGGAAGGCATATCCCATTACCTATCTGAACAGAATGCTTTGGTTACATGGATTAATTCACACAGTGATGTAATTGATCATACAGGTATAACATACATGGCATAGTCGTACTAGAGCTGGGGACATCTGGGTGAAAATCCCTGTTCAGCCACAAAACTCACTGAATCTTTCAGCCTAAGTTCCTTGCCAAGAAAGTGTGGTGGGAATAGGACAGGACAACCTGATGTAAACTGCACTGGGCTCCTTGGAGAAACAACAGCAGAATAACAAATAGGATAATTAATTTCAAGTGTGTTTAATAAACTGGATTTATTTGAGCCAAACTAGATTTATTTTATGCCTTATACTATACTTCATCAATCTACATTCTCATTAAGATTTCTAGAGCATTGCTTTTTCATGCATGGACACACTGACAAAACATGCCCACATTTCCAAACACATATATTAGGAATATTAACAGCCCCCTGCTTCAGCTTGGACTTGTACTTCACAAACTGTCCTGCTTCTACTCAGAATTATAGATTCAGAGAGATTTGTGCAACTTTGACATTTTGGTGGGGGAGGTGCTTACCCCCTATGTTGTTTGTCAACTATTATTTTGAAAATAATAGCCTAGAGGTTTCATTAATTAAGGAAATTGCAAAGATGTAGAATGGCAGGGGCTGCACTTCATGTAGAAGGGGAACTCTCCAATGGGGTGAGGGAGCGACTCCCTTCCCACCATATGAAAACAGAGTTTATCCTAAAGATGTCTGCAGACAAGAAACCTGGCCCTGGTAAATGTACCCTAGAATTTGAAAGTGGATTTACCCTTTAAGTACAATCATTCCCCTGTTTGAACACTTAGAGAAATAAAAGCATGAAGTCTGGCATGTCCCCAAAACATGAGACATCTCTCAAGCTTTGTTCTGGGGTAGCTGTGGTTCAGCCAGCTTCTCAGAGGGTTGCCCACTTCACCTGAGAAACAAACAGCTCATAATGAAGTGGCTTCTTCCACTTGGTCTTGGACTTTGAATCTGAAGGACATCCCAAATATAAGTGTCAATTATTTAACTTTCATTATTTTCAAATATGTCAGTATTTCACAGATATAATTAAAGTTTAAAAAACAAAAAGAATTATCTCCTTGAAATGAATCTGTTTACTCATAAAACAAAATATCTTGATCCTGAATTGTCTTGCCATATAATCAGCAATAGGGCTAAGATAATGTGATGAAATATGAGAACCTTAATCAGAATAACTCTGTGTTCACTGATTTTAGCCAAAACCCCTTTTCAATCATTAGTGCATAATTTGCTTTCACCAGTTTTCAGAAGTGTTTGTGACAAGACTCTTTTGCAGTTTCCTAAGTTTCCTGGGAACTCCTTGGAGGTGGAATGTCATCGGCAATAAGTAGGAATGTGCTGTAAGCCATCTCAACCTCTTCTTTGGAACCCTAAAAGAATAAACAGAAACTCAAATACTATTTTAATACGGCTCAAAGACAACAAGTAAGGGAAATTAAACAAAATGGGTCACTTCATGAGACAACACTCAATTTTATCAGGCATCACTATAACAACCACAGGTCCCCTGTCACCTTAAAGACTAAGAGTGCAATCCCATGGATGCCAGACTGAGTCTAGATGGCCATAGGAAATTTGGAGTCCAAGGCCAGAGCTGAGGTTCTGAATTTGGAGTGCTTCCTTCTGCCCTCACAGCTGGCATTAATAGAACCATGCCTGTTGCAGCTGTAAGCATGCAAGAGCAACCTCAGTAATGGAATTTTATGGATGGGGCTCCACCAGCATATGTTGCATTCTGGTGGCACCTCAGCTTCCTCTCCTTATGTTCTGGGGGAAAACACTTACATTGCCAAGTGTTTTGCAGGGTGTGGGCTGTGTCAGAATTCCTCAGCGCCTGAAGGTTGGGCAGCTGGACGTCTATCTACTTTCTAATTCTGCTTTGCAAGCACTTTGCTAAACAACCCAGGAATGTCTCCAAGGTTGAGAGAACTCTGCATTTTCAAGGCAACCTCCAAAAGGCACTGTTTTGCAAAGTATCACTAAAAGAAAGTAAGGAACACCAAAAGATGCTAAACAGGTTGCTGTTTGTGCAGCTGCTGTTCCCTATTCTTTGCAATCTGGATTACATATAGACAATTATAGTCCTGTTAAAATAATCTAGCATGGATTTACCCTCTTTGTCTTCCTTGATTTATCAGCCTCCTTAGGACTTCCAGTAGTAGTCACATACTCTGTAAAGAATGAGAAATGTTAAGAGACTGAACAAGAAATGAAGGCAACACATCCTTTATTTATTAGATATTTATCCCACTTTTTTTCTTACAAAGAACCAAAAGTGGCTTACATCTTTCTCCTGCTGCTGCTCTCAACAACCCTGTGAAGTAGGTCAGGCTGAGAGTCTGTGACTGACCCAAAGTCACTCGGTTGGCCGCATGGCTGCGGGGGCTAGAACTCGGATTGCTTGAGCCCCAGTCCCACTGTCTTGACCACCACGCAACACTGGCTCTCTTATTTATCAACTCTATGCATGACTACATAATGTCTTTAATTATTAAATGAGTTACTCTTTTATCTTTTGTTGATGAACATGAAATGTGAACTAGAATAATTCGGAATGTTGAGATTACCATCTTTTCCTCCTATTTGGGTCTCATGAGCATCTTCCATGCACACATTGTCCTTTGCCCCAAACTGTCTCACATTCTCAAAATCCGTCATGCTTATATTTGTCCTGTAGCTTCCAACCGAGACCAGATCTGCAGAAAGAGAAGAAAATGCGAAGGGGAAAAACTAACTTATCGTCCATAGATCCTTAGATCTAAAATAGGTTAAAGTCTCTTGAAGTGCTGTGATGTATCTAGTAAACCCTATGCACCTTGGGAGGAGAGCTGAAGGATCACTGCATGTGGCAGAAGTGCTATTCCTCAGCCAAAGAGAAAGGTATCCTGGTGGAATGGCCTCTCTGCTGCCAGAGGCACAGTGCACCCCATGTGGGGCAGAAAGCTCTGCTACCATTGTTGACTCACCAACTGTGGGGTCCAAAATGGGTTATTGTGGGGATATGTCACACATATAGACCATGGATCCACAAGATCCTAAGCTGTACCTCATTCCCTGACCTGCACCCAAACAAGCCTAGAAAGCATGGTACCACTGCAACCAGTGCAGCTATTTCCCTGTGTTCCTAAGGAGGGTGGAAGAACCCAAAGGAGAAAAAATGGCGGGGGGAGCAACCCCCACTCCTGTCCTGCCCACAGCAAGCCCCCAGGACTTTAGAAGAGGTTGTACCTGACTACTACATAATCTCTCACTGTTACCACTTTAGAGTTGCTTACATAGTTTCAATGGGATGTATATATGAGTAAAGATGCAGAAAATTGTAGTGTAAATGCATTTCAAAGCCAGGTACGTATGCCTGGTTCATCTTTCCTATTTGTCAAAGTAATTAAAAAAAAAGGATTTGTCAGAATGAAACCATTAATCTTTCTGGTGACATTCTGATGGCACAACTAAATCTTGTCATCAAGGATCATAGTTCCATGTGAGAAAGTACTAGTAAGCACAAATTCAAGTATACACACATGTATATGTATATGTATATATCTGTTTCGAATACTGTCCTGGGCAGTCTACAAGTGACATAGACTTACCTGAATGCTTGAAAATCCTGAGCTTCACAATAGCAAAGATTGTTACGAGAAGCAGAAACAAGACTCCCAGGGGAACCAAAATGGATAGAAGAAGTGAAGAATGTTTATTTCCTCCTTGGCTGGAAAAGAAGTTGAATAGTCATAGTAGTGACTTTAGAATGCTATTGCTAATATGCAAACAGTTATTGCTATTCTTAATATTAATTTTATGTCTATACCTCCCAACAGCTGAAGCTCTCTGGGCAGTGTACAACAATTAGCCAATTAGAAGGAAAAAGCAATACAAAATATAAATGACAGTAAAAATATAGTAATATTTCATAAAAAAATTTAAACCAGATTTTAACATCATAACTACCTAAGATAAGTTCATACTGCTTGGCCTCCTAAAACAGCTGATAATACCCATCAGCCTCCAGTGCTATTTCAAGTTAATAAATGCTCTGGCATAGAGGGCAGGCTTTGTCTGGCACCAAAAGAACAGTAAACCTGGCACCAGGCAAGCTTCAGCTGGGAGATCATTCCATAATTTAGGGGCTACCATAGGAAAAGCCTTCCTTGCTGTTGCCACCAACCAACACTCCCTCTGATGAAGTAGTGAGATAAGGGCTCCAGATGTTGATCATAGCATCCAGGTTGATTGCAGTTGAAAAAAGGCATTCCATGTAGTATAACTGCAAATACTCCAGAAAGGCAATGGAATGGTCTGTATATAATACTAAAATGTTTAGCATTACAAAAAAGAACCTAGCTTCCTCCCAGGCTTGCATTCTTCTTCTCCTCTTCCACCACTGGTGAGGCCCCAAAGAGGAATTTATGTGTTTTTTGCTCCAAATTTTAATTAATTACAACTTGTTGTATCATTTGAACCAAAAGGTGAAAAAACTGTGGGCCATCTTAAATTACTTAGGCATTTCATTATATCAAGCAATATGGAAGTATCACAAATAAATAAAGTTACTGGAATTGGGGATTGGGGATTCTATTGGTGTACCGTGCACCTTTCTGCCCAGCAGTCTCCCTATCTGAGCTGACAGAGACCGTCTCGGACCTGGTGTTGAGGACCCCCAGGATGTTGGTCCTGGGGGACTTCAATCTCCATGCCGAGTCGGGACTGACCGGGGCGGCTCAGGACTTCATGGCCTCTATGACGGCCATGGGCCTGTCTCAACACGTCACTGGCCCTACCCATGAACGTGGACACACTCTGGACCTGGTATTCACGACGGGGCAGGTAGAGGATGACCTGAGGGTGAAGAACTTATGTTTGACTCCCCTGTCATGGTCAGATCACCTCCTGGTGAGGTTTGTGCTCGAGAGCGGCCTCTCCCTCTATAAGAGTGCGGACCCGATTGTATGGGCCCGCCCCCGGAGCCGGATGGATCCGGATGGATTCCTGGGGGCCCTGGGGGAATTTCCGGCTGACAAGACTGGTGCTCCTGTCGAGGCTCTGGTCGAACTGTGGAATGGAGAGATGACCAGGGCTGAGGACACAATCGCTCCTAAGCGTCCTCTCCCACCGGGCAGAGTCCACTCTTCCCCTTGGTATACACCTGAATTACGGGCGATGAAGCGAGTTGGGAGACGGCTAGAGCGTAGGTGGAGGAGATCACGGGATGAATCTGACCGAACACACTTGAGAGCCCACTATCGGGCCTATGCTGTGGCGGTGAAGGCGGCGAAAAAGAAGTTTTTTTCTGCTTCCATTGCCTCCTCACAATGCCGTCCAGCGGAGCTTTTTCGAGTGGTGCAAGGCCTGGTTCGCCTGGGTCCTAAGGAAGATCCAATGCCACCCTCAAAGGCCCGCTGTGACGACTTTGCCAGGCATTTCAGGGAGAAAATCGCTCAGATTCGTCACGAGCTGGACTCCACTAATGAATCAGAGGTCTCTGAGGAGTCGCCAATGCCACCGTCTGGTCCAAAATTACTGGAGGAATTTCAATTATTGCGGCCCAATGATGTGGACAAGGTGCTTGGAAGAGTACGTCCCACCACTTGCCTATTGGATCCTTGCCCGTCTTGGTTAATAAATAACTCCAAGCACGGGATTGGGACCTGGATTTTGGAAGTGGTTAACGCTTCTCTGAGGGAGGGTCGAGTGCCTGCCCCTTTAAAGGAGGCGGTAATACGACCGGTCCTGAAGAAAGCGTCACTGGATCCAGAGATGGCCACTAACTATAGACCTGTGGCCAACATCCCGTTTCTGGGCAAGGTGCTGGAGCGAGTGGTGGCGGGACAACTCCAAGCACTCTTGGAGGAAACTGATTATCTGGATCCTTTTCAGTCCGGCTTCAGACCCGGGTACAGTACTGAATCTGCCTTGGTCGCCCTGTATGATGACCTGTGCAGGGAGAAGGACAGGGGGAGTACATCCCTGTTGGTTCTTCTGGACCTCTCGGCGGCTTTCGATACCATCGACCATGGTATCCTTCTGGATAGACTTGCGGGATTGGGGGTTGGAGGCACTGCTTTGCAGTGGTTCCGCTCCTATCTCGACGGTCGATTCCAGAAGGTAGTGCTGGGGGACCATGTCTCTACGTCATGGCAGCTATGCCATGGGGTACCACAGGGCTCCATTCTATCCCCTCTGCTACTTAACATCTATATGAAACCGCTGGGAGAGGTCATCAGGAGGTGTGGGCTGCGGAATCATCAATACGCTGATGATACCCAGCTCTACCTCTCGTTTTCCACTAATCCAGGTGAGGCAGTGGCTGTGCTGAACTGGTGCTTGGCCGAGGTATGGGAATGGATGAGGGCCAATAAACTGAAACTCAACCCAGACAAGACGGAGGTCCTGTTGGTTGGCGGATCGGGTTTCGGAGAGGGTGGATTTGACCTGGTCCTGAATGGTGCAACACTCCCTCTTAGGGATAAGGTCCGCAGCTTAGGAGTACTCCTCGACCCGGAGCTTTCTTTGGAAGCTCAGGTGACAGCGGTAGCGAGCAACGCCTTCCTTCAGCTTCGGCTGATTAATCAGCTGCGCCCCTACCTGGAATACGACTGCCTGGCGACGGTGACACACGCGCTGGTGACTTCCCGCCTAGACTTCTGTAACGCGCTTTACGTGGGGCTTCCCCTGAAGACAGTCCGAACACTTCAATTGGTGCAAAATAGAGCTGCCAGGTTGCTGACGGGGACGGGGCGTTATACTCACATGACTCCAGTCCTCCATCAGCTTCACTGGCTTCCCATTGAAGCCCGGGCCCAATTCAAGGTGTTGATTATGACCTACAAAGCCCTAAACGGCTTGGGTCCTGGCTACCTGAACGAGCGCTTACATCCGTATATGCCCGACCGCCCTTTGAGATCTGCGGGAGAGTCCCTTCTCCGGGAACCCTCCATGAAAGAAATTAGGAGAGTAAGTACCCGGAGGAGGGCTTTCTCTGCGGTGGCGCCCAACCTATGGAATTCACTCCCCAAAGAGGTCCGCCTGGCACCGTCGTTACTGGTTTTTCGGCGCCAGGTAAAGACCTTTTTATTTAAACATCATTTCAATTGTTAAAACATATGATCTGGCCTGGGCAACTTCTTCTTCCTTCTCTTTCTCCTCCTATATTTTTATTTTATACTGATAATTTTAATTTTGTATTTGTAAATCAATGTATTTTTTGTATTGTTATATTTAATGGTAATTTATTATGTACTATTGTATTTCAATGTATTTTATCATGTTGTAAGCCGCCCCGAGGTTTCGGCAAGGGGCGGCATAGAAATGTTATAATAATAATAATAATAATAATAATAATAAAAAACAAGCTATCTTCAAAATATAGTTTAGAAGTTGACTAGTTCTTGTGAACCCTAGTTAAGATTAACCCAAGTTTGGAATTCATACAATATGAGATACTGCAGTTAATCTTAACAGATCTCCACCCTGTGGCTGTGCTGGTGAAGTGAAGGAAGAACTGTGCAAGCCCATGGGAAGAGCAGGGTATTTCTAACACTTAACCATGGCTTACTGTTATGTCAACAAGTAATTGAAGATTCTATAGTGGAAAACAACAAAATAAGACATCTACACATGATTTTCCTTTCTCCCATTGAAGTTAGATTGATCCTAAGATATTTGTAACAGATTAATTTACTCAACTAATCAGTACACTATTTAATTCATACAAAATTATACCATCCCAGGCAGAATAATCTATTTGAAAGGGGTCCTTTCCCAGCTTCCCAGCTTGTTTCGCAAAATCTTTTTACAAGAAAAGGAGACCCCAGGGATACCTGGAAATTAAAGAATTCAAAATATGCTCTCCGTCATGGAACTTTTGCCTTTCCCCTCAAAAAGTAACATTTTTGCTGCAGGTGTGGGAACGGAGACCAGTACACATGCCACAGCCCATCAAAGAAAACAGATGTCAAATCCAAACGCTAACCCTAACAGTGCACTGAGAAGCCTTTTGCAGCAGCTCACCTGTCTGCCGAACTCTCAGGCGCAGCAGCTACCTTGGCTTCTTTTAAGACCTCACCCCTATTTTCAGCATTTATTCCAGGAATAACAGTATCTTGTGGTGCTTCAGCAGTACTGGGAATTTCTTCAGAGTTTAAAGGTTCTAGTATTTGACCAGATGATATTCAGCAGCATATGACAAAGCAAAAAGCAGGCAGACAGGAAGGAAGAAAGGAAGGAAGAAAGCTTAGTAAGTTCATTCCCCATATTCTAATGCTTCATGTTAATTAATGTATACTTGCTCACATGAGACAAAGTAATTTTTAAACAAAAACATGTACCTTGAGTTATACAATGTTTGCCCTATTGTCAGAACATGTAACATCAAAAAGACTAATTCTGGTACCAGTTAAATGTTCTCTTTTACTTTTGACAAATGTGCACTGTCATCACTCATATGATAACATGTATGGCATTTTGTGCCACGCTTACATTAAGCATTTCCAGAAACCTTTCTCAAGATTATCACAGTTATTATAGGTAATAACTATGGGTAAGATGGAACCCGTCCCAAGGGGTTGGTTACATCTTACCCAGCAGGATGGGAAAAACGATCGAGCTACAGGAGCCAAGGATAAATAGCTGCTATTGTGGAGGAGATTTCCTGCTCTGCAAGGCCTTGTCATACTGAATCTAACGGAATGAGCTAAGCCGGAGTTCTGAGGTAGCAACAAGAGAAGCTGTAGCAGCTTGCATGGTCAACAATAGAACAATGTACTAGGCTAGAACAGCTATCGGAAATGCTGGCTGCGCTTTTATGGAGCCATATGGAGGCTTCCAAAGTCCAGATCCTGAAACAGTTTCTGCACTTTTAAGAGATGCATCAAAGGGGAAATTGTATAAGATGTGGCTTCATCTATCACTGTAACTTTTCATGGGAATGGTTAAGTGTACCAAAGTCCACTGTAATCTGTGCATTTAAATGTACAGTGTTAGATTGTTGTTGGAGTGTATCGTCATTGGTATTGTAGCAGTGTCTTCTGCTGAATTCTTGCTTCCACACCATGGTTTAAAGAGATTGTGCATTATCCAGCAAACCAGGGCCCTTTCTGGAGTTCCTTCCATTTCTAGAGTGTCACTGCACTGCTATTATTGGTCCAAATAGGAATTGCCACTTAGGAGCTACAGAGCTGTATTCCAGGTTTTCACTATGTGATTCCATGCCACAGAGCAATGTCTACTGACCAAGATGCCTGAGATGTTGGTGATTCTTTTGAGATCATGAGCGTAGCTATTTCTGAGAAGATTATTTTTCTTACTTTCAGATCACTGCAGGCTCACATGCACACCTACAGTGATAGTTAGCGGCATAGAATTATTTTGTGGTTGCTTTTACTCCAGTCTCTTCAAGTGATACAGCTTTCTTCACCATTAAGAAGCAGACCACACGGCATGGGAAAGCTATCCTGAAATCTCCTTCCACAGTGGGATTGCTCATGAGCAAGCCTGCTCTTCAGGCATTGGCAGGAACATAGGGTGGGTATCCCAGAGTGGAGGGAACATGAGCTGACTTGTGCTGGGCTTCCAAGTTCAGCGCGAGGGGATCCATCTTTCTGCTCAGCCATGGCACCATTCAGCCAAGCACCACCTCAGCTAGGCAGTGGAGAAGAAAGAACAAGAAGAAGTGAACCCCCTCTTGGTGAGCTGCTCGCTGCTTGGTGAGCTGCTTGGTGAGCTGCTCGCTGAGTCCAGTGGGAGCAGGTACTTCTTCACGTCTGCATCTGGCATGGCAGCGACAGGGAAAAGCGTGCCTCATGTTATCCTCTTCCCTTCCCTGCTGCAGTACCTGCGGACGCTGCACTGTGAGGGAGCCACGCTCAACCTGGTCTCCTCCTGAGCCAAATATGCTCCCTCCTCCAGCTATGGTTTCTCCATGATCACAGCAGGTGGGGAGGAATTGCATTTGGTTAGGCATTCCCAGGAGAAGGTCCAGATGGATGCATGCCCCCACAACAGTGGTCCTCTCTTGGCTGGCATGGTGCACCATACAAACCTGGGGTGAGGAACTTATCCGCTGTCTGCTATGCAGCTCACCCCAAGCCCCGGGTGGAGTTTGGGAAAGTGGTGCATGGGAAGCACCAGGAATTGGCCAATATGCTGCTTCTTTTCCAAGCCCCCCTCAAGACTTGGGAAGGAGGAAGTGTACGGCACAACTGGCAAGTGCGGAACTGCTCTGTTTGACTTCCTCTGGAATGATTTGTAGCTCATTCTGGCCCACTGTAAGTATGGCAGGATAGAGCTGCTCAGTGTCACTTCCTCCTGAGGCTCTAAATGAGGTCTGAGTAAGCGGCATGTGGCAGGCCCTGTTGCTTCCCCACCCCATTCGCAAATCTCCCCCCCACCACCCCCCAGCATCAGCAGCAGCATGGAGGGACACTGATGACAGCTGCCCGAAGTGCCACTTGGACTCTTTGCTGACTGTATCATCTGGAGCCCCTTGGCCAATGCTTTTCGCTGCCCTGGTCAGAGGGTGCTGTAGCCTTTCAACCTGTCCATGGCTCAGCATACCACCAGGATTCACATGCCATACTAAGTCCTTGGAAGGGTTGCTAAATCCCACCACAATCATGGCTAGTTGGATTGGCTTATAAGCTATTCTCCAGAAAGTATGTGTGTGCATGTGTGAGTTTGTGTGTGTGTGTGGGGGGGGGTTGTTTTCAGATGACACACTAAACCAGCTCCCAGTGGTTTAGCCTGTTGTGTGGACACAGTCATTGGGCAGAAGCATGACCCCATTCCATAATGTATAATGAGAAGTCCTCAAGTGCACTTTCAGCACTCACTAAGTCTAACATGGCCAAGATTTAGAGACAATATTTATAATGAGCCTGTTTATAATGAATGGCGCAGGAGTTATAACCAAATCCAGCTTTTTCTAACTTAGTGCCTGCAGCTTGATTGGACTGCAACTCCCAACATTCCAAGCCATCGTGCTAGGAATGATATGAATTGCAATGCAATCCTTCTGGAGGGCAGCACGTTGGGGAAAGTTGATCTAGCCGGCTATCTGTCCGATCAGAATTGGGGCTCACCTCCATGCACTTGCAGATATACTGCATACGTTTCTCCATAGTGACCTTCATTTTTGACGCCACACCAATACCACCCTTGATCTGTTAGGGATACTTCATCAAAGTTCACGGTGAACGTTCTTCTGTCTTTGTCACAGCCAACAGTCACACCAGTTTGATTTTGTTCAGATACAATGAGAGGTTTACACCCACTGTTCTTCCACTTGCACCAATACTTCTCGTAAAGAACATACTTGCATTCGTAAGAGCATGTTATATTCAGTGGTGAGCCTACAAGAGCCTGGATTTCATTATTTGCTTCTAAACTGGGTTTCCCTATTTCAGAAGACAGGGAGAAAAGGAGAAGAGAAATAGGTACTGTACAATTCAAATTATCTTACAAAATTGCTTAAACTAATGATGGTTCATAGAATATATTTCCCATCCACCCCCCCACCCTCATTCCCACATGGTATACTCAGACCTCTACTTGACCACGTTTATCAATGTGGATAAATATAGTGCATGAACCATGCATCTTTAGGTGTGGTAGCAGTTCCTATACTCAGAATGATTTTGCTTAGCAGATATGATTATGGTAATATGCTATCATCCAAACCCATGATTTCATGTTCACATGTTAACATTTATCCATCATATGCCTAGACTATGTCAGGGTTGTTCGGGCAGAATAAAAATGTATTGGATGCAAACTAGCCTTAGACATTTATTCTGTAGATGTTGAATCTGAATGAATGAATGAATCTAAATACAATGGTGAAAATCTGAAATACTCGGTACAAGCCACATGATTTGATACCTTCTACAATCTTCAGCTCTGTTGTTGACTTCCTTTCATGTTGTCCATCTGCTATGCACCAGTAGTACCCTTCATCTTCCTTCCTCAGTTGGTTCAATATGATGGTGTACATGCCACTTTCTGGGCTGTCATGCAGCACTATCCTTCCCTCATAGTCATCTGGCACATATCCAAGGTTGTTTATTAACTGAGTGCATCCACGTTCCTTCCACTTGCACCAATATTTAATTGTGTTATTCTCTTTCGGGTCATAGTGACATTCGACAGAGACTGAACCACCTTGCACTCCCATTACAATTGGTTGTTTGTTGGGCACCAAAGATTCTAGAGATAGAAACAAAGTGTCTCTTAATGGTAATCTGGGTGGGAAAATGACAGGTATTGGACAACCTCTGTCTGCCCCTTACCTACCTTCATAAACATGTAAATCGAGTTTCTTGGATTCACCTTCTGCCCCATAGTTGCCAGCTCCACAGAGATATAACCCTGAATCGCTCTTTGTTAATTGAGTCATAATGATACTGAATGATCCAGGAGTCTCAAGATTGCTCAGCAGAATTCTTCCTTTATAGGAGGGATCAATCTTTCCATAAGTGTCAATGATATTGAGGCACTGGGACTTTGTCATCTTGCATAGGTACTTCCTAGCACTTGCATATTGATTACCAAAGGCACAGGTCATAGTCACGGATCCATGCTGCTCAGCATAAAAGAGTTGAGCTTCTTCCGGCATTACTGCATCTGTATCAATGACATGACAAGTCAGTGTCTGTCTTCCATGGTTCTGTTCATATTGAACAGCTGCCTCTCACATAGGTAAGCCTTCCCATAACCAGGTGTTTTCCAGATGTGTTGGCTTGCAATCATGGAAATTGAGGTCAAACACATCTGGAGGGCACCAGACTGGGGAAAGCTGAGATATGCTATCACAATGCTTCTGTATTACACCGAATATGAATATGAAATATGAATGCACTGTGTCACTGTATCATATTTATGCTGCATTGCATTATTGCTAAACTGCACAGCTTGTGTTCTGCGACCTGCATACTGTGATATGACAGAGCTAGGGAGTTAGCAAAATCAGTGAGTTAGCTACAGTGACACTTGTGTGCCATGGAGGCTTTTTGTCCATTGTAGCTTTTGTTTTGAGCTTTATAGAAGCCATCCATGGTACTCCATGATGGAGAACTTATTTTAGGGGTGGAGATCCTGGTGGGCCATATTCATACCGGGTTTGGCTTAGTGACTTACAGATATAAGCTTGTACTATTTTGTCAAATATTTCATACTGAAGTAAACAAACAAACAAACAAACAGTGTTGGTGTCAGGGGCATCTCCCTCAAGGGGAGATTTCAAATTTGGGTGCCATCACGGAGAAGCCTCCCTGCTTTTATACATGCATAATGCACTTCTCCTAAAGATTAAATACAGAGAAGAACCTCTCCTGATTATTCCAACAAAAAGGCTGTCCCGTAGTTTGAGGAGGGGTAGATGGCAAGATATCCACAGTTTGAGTCTTCCAGAAAACAATAAGGTAATGTTAATGTATTTACCTTCAGAAACATCCAGCTTGACTCTGAAGGACAATCCTCTGTCATTGAGACCAACGCCACATTTGTATGACCCTATGTCTCGCTGTTGCAACTGTGATATTTCTATGATGAATATGCCATTCTCTGGATAGTCTGTAAGCGAGGCTCTACCTTCATATGGTCTGGCAACAAAGCCATTGGAAGAAATGATGGTTGCACATTGCCTTGCTGATTCTTTGCACCAGTACTTCCGGCTGTGTCTGTTCACACTAGTGCGAGGGTAGAAGCATTTCACTTTAACAGAGCCTCCAAGTAATCCAGTCACCTGTCTTGGCCCAAATATGGGACTCGAAGCTGAAAAAATGAAATAGCACACTTGATTGGCTGCCATGTATTATCAAAGACAAGAGCTAAATTATGGTGATAGTCAAGGAGCAGTTTTTCAGTAAGACTGAGGCCTGACCATATAACCTTGCACAAATGCTACATGTTTCTCATTTAAACATAAGCTCTGTTCTGCAATGTCCCTGACACACAGTATGTTGAATGTCCACACAGCTGAGAGTTTTTCGTTTTTACTGAAAATTCCAGAATGCATATCTTGTGCATGTGCAGTACACTGTTTATTTGTTCATAGTTTTGGAGCAAAAGAGCCATGTCAACATGAGGCAGTTGAGGCAGAGGTGAAATGAAGACCCATGTAAAAGTGAACTATATAGGGAAACTGAACAGGTATGGAACCCAGGGTCGATGTTATACCAGGTCAGACTATCCAGGCCACTAGTATTTCTTTGGACAGGTAACAACGTTCAAGAGTTTTGGGCAAGGATCATCACCTGCTCAGATCACTTCCTCATAAGGTTTGAGCTCAAGAGCGGCCTTTCCCTCTGTAAGGATGCGGGCCCGATTGTGTTGGTCCGCGCCTGGAGCCAGATGGATCCTGATGGATTCCTGAAGGCTCTGGGGGATTTTCCGGTTGACAAGGCTGGTGCTCCTGTCAATGCCTTGGTTGAACTATGGAATGGGGAGATGACCAGGGCTATAGACACAATTGCTCCCAAATGTCCTCTCCCACCTGGCAGAGCCTGTTCATCTCCTTGGTACACATCTGAATTACGGGTGATGAAGTGGGTTGGGAGACGTCTAGAGCATAGGTGGAGGAGATCATGGGATGAATCTGATCGAACACACTTAAGAGCCCACTATCAGGCCTATGCTGTGGCAGTGAGGGCAAAGAAGAAGAAATTTTTCTCTGCTTCCATTGCCTCCTCACAATGCTGTCTGGCAGAGCTCTCTCGGGTGGTGCAGGGGCTGGTACATCCAGGCCCAAAGACAGATCTCGTGCCACCCTCGAAGGCCCACTGTGATGACTTTGCCAAGCATTTCAGGGAGAAAATCGCTCAAATTCGTCATGAGCTTGACTCTGCTATTGAATCAGATTCTACTGGGGAGGTGCCACTGATGCCATCAAGTCCACAATTAATGAATGAATTTCAGTTGTTGTGGCCTGATGATGTGGACAAGGTGCTTGGACAAATATGTCCTGCCACCTGCTTACTAGACCCTTGCCCATCTTGGCTACTCAAGAAAGCCAATGACGGGATTGGGACCTGAATCATGGAGGTGATCAATGCCTCTTTAAGAGATGGCCAGGTACCTGCCCCTTTAAAGGAGGTGGTAGTCCGGCCAGTTCTAAAGAAGGCACCCCTGGATCCAGAGGTGGCCGCCAATTATAGTCCGGTGGCCAACATCCCGTTCTTGGGCAAGGTGCTAGAGCGGGTGGTGGCAGGACAGCTCCAGGCACTCTTGGATGAAACTGATTATCTGGACCCATTTCAGTCCAGCTTCAGACCCGGGTACGGTACTGAATCTGCCTTGGTCGCCCCGTACGATGACCTGTGCAGGGAGAGAGACAGGGGAAGTGTGTCCCTGTTAGTTCTCCTGGACCTCTCAGCGGCTTTCGATACCATGGTATCCTTGGTATCCTTCTGGATAGGCTAGCGGGATTGGGAGTTGGAGGCACCGTGTTGCGGTGGTTCCGCTGCTATCTCAATAGTCGATTCCAGAAGGTGGTGCTGGGGGACTATGGCTCTGCACCATGGCAGTTATGCCATGGAGTTCCACAGGGGTCCATTTTGTCCCCCTTGCTATTCAACATCTACATGAAACCGCTGGGGGAGGTCATCAGGAGGTGTGGGCTGCGGAATCATCAGTACACTGATGATACCCAGCTCTACCTCTCGTTTTCCACCAATCCAGGTGAGGCAGTGGCTGTACTGAACCGGTGCCTGGCCAAGGTAATGGGCTGGATGAGGGCCAATAAACTGAAGCTCAATCCAGAAAAGACAGAGGTCCTGTTGGTGGGTGGTTCGGGCTTCGGGATGGGGGACTTGGGCCTTGTCCTAAATAGGATTGCACTCCCTCTGAGGAACAGGGTTCGCAGTTTGGGAGTGCTCCTCGACCCTGAGCTGTCACTAGAAGCTCAGGTGTTGGAGGTGGCGAGGAGCGCCTTCCTTCAGCTTCGGCTGATCCATCAGCTGCGTCCCTTCCTGGAGAACGACTGCCTGGCGACAGTGACACACGCATTGGTAACTTCCCGAGTAGACTTCTGTAATACACTCTACAGGGGCTACCCTTGAAGATGGTCCGGATACTTCAATTGGTGCAGAATAGAGCTGCCAGGTTGCTGATGGGGACTGGGCGTTGTTCTCATTTAACCCAAGTTCTCCGTCAGCTTCACTGGCTCCCAGTTGAAGTCTGGACCCAATTCAACGTGTTGGTTATGACCTATAAAGCCCTCAATGACTTGGGACCTGGTTATCTAAAGGAATGCTTGCGTTCATATATGCCCTCCCGCCCCTTGAGATCGGCAACAGATGCCCTTCTCCGGGAACCCTCCGGGAATTATTTTAGGAGGGTGAGTACCTGGAGGAGGGCCTTCTATGCAGTGGCGCCCCACCTATGGAATGCGTTCCCCAAAGAGGTCTGCCTGGTGCCGTCGTTATTTGTTTTTCGGCGCCAGGCTAAGACCTTTTTATTTAAAACTTATTTTAATTGTTAACTTATTATGTATTTATAGGATTTTAAATTTTTAAGCCATGATGTTACTGGGCTTTTTAATCTTTAATTGTATAAATTGCTATTTATATGTTTTAATTATGTTGTGAGCCACCCCGAGGCTTTGTTGCGATGGGGGCGGCATAGAAATGTTTTAAATAAATAAATAAATAAATAAATAAATAAATAAATAAATAAATAAATAAAAGATATGGAATTGCAATAACCATTAGATCAAAGGACAGAGGTCCTGTTTTCACTTCAGTGATATTATAAAGGATAAGGATAAGGAAACCAGGAATAACCAAAACTATTAGAATTAAAGGTCTAAGCAGAATTATTTTGGAGCAAATGCCAAAAAGAATATGAACACAACCCAGCATTTTTTCAATTCTGTAAATTTAAAGTTAACCATTAAATTTCATGGGACTTTTATTTATTGAATTTGGCTGGATCATGTCTCACATATTTGTTTTATGTGACTTGACTGTGAGTCATACTGCACCAACATCAATGAAAATTTTGAGCCACAATCCTATCCTGTAGAGATGCATCACTGGTGTTCTTAATTCTGCTTGATGGTTTAATACTCACCACTTGCAAATTCAGCATGGACAAAGGCCAACAAAAAAATGAAGATCAGGGCACCCATTTCAGAAGAGGGTCTTACACCAAAGATGTGAGGTTCCTTGTAAAGACTGAAACTAGAAAATAAATCAGTACATATGTAAATGAAAACTTTCCTAATATGATCATTTTCCCCCGAATAAACAGGTTTTCACAATCCATGAGCTAAATAACATTGGGATGTGCTCAGCAGAATTCCTAAGACAAAGGAAGAAAATGGGACACATGGGCAAAGTGCATCCTGTTTCAGTTTTGATTACATTGGGCTGCTTATTGCAAGGGGAGCAGGCAGTCAGACAAATGGGAACCAACTTAGTCACATTGTTTTTCAATCCACAGTTTATTAACCACTGGCGATAGGTAAACGGGTTATTCGTGGCATGAGAATCAGGCCATGATGCTACTTGGAAAGTTAGGACCTGAGTTTAAAGAAACTTCAGTGCCCATAAAACTGCTCCCTTTAGTCATTACTTTGTAGAAGCTACACAAGATGGTGGATGTGGCTCGACAGCAGAGCATATTCTCTCTAAGTAGAAGAGCTCAGATTCAATTCCTCACATCCCCACTTCAAAGAATCCCAAGACGTGGGTCTAGAAGAACCTGCCGGACTCCTGGAAAGCTACTGTCCACCAGAGTGCACAATACTGGGCTAACAGACTAGTTGTTATACTTACAACAAGAATTCAGATGGATTGCATCTGAAAAAATCTTTGGCCCCTGCAAGCCGTGGCTGTAACTGGCCATGCTGCATTTGGCAAATGTGTGAATGCAGTTCAGCATCTACCCTCATGTGGAGAAGATCTACATGTTGTAAACTGCCCAGAGAGCTTTGGCTATTGGACAGAATCGAAAATACTTATATACATGTCTATGTCAAGGATGCCTAATGAGCAATGGATGTGGAATTGGCCAGGGATACATTATCATGATCATCAGGAAAGAGCTATCCCATACAGCCCTGAATGCATGTCATATGTACTTTCGATGCATTGGAACACCCCAGTATAAGCCAGCCAAGTGGCATAAAATGAAGTGTGCATTAAATGATGCACTAGTTTTAAATTTTGACAAAAGGTATTCAGTTAGTTTGCCATTTCTTGCATTTCTTGATTACAGCAGGAATGTGAGATAATTTCCCAGAAATAGAGAGTTATATTACTAAAAGAAACCATTGTTTCATTAAACATGAACATTCACCTGTTTTGCATATACTAATACTTATATGAATTGATTAATCAGAAATTGGTTAAAAGTTGCATGAAAATGTTTTAAGGTGCAATCCTCACTGGCTGGGGAATGCTAGGAATTGTACCCCCTTTTCTGTCTAAATCTAGATAGGATTGTGCCTTTAATGAATTTAAAAAGTTCAATAGATTAATGCTCCTACATGTTCACTTGTGCAATCATGTTCTGATTTGTTCCACTAGAGGGCAATGGTAACATGCACTTAGGGCCAAGAAATGCTCTTGTAAGTTATAACTGTCTTAATTTTGATAGGATCTAAATTATCATAATCTATTAGAGTTGTGCCATTGATTTCAATGTGATGTATAGACTGGGCTTTTAGGTTCTGTGCAGAAGATTATCATGGAAAGAGTAAGATGAATCATCTCTTTCTGGAATTGAAAAGTCGTTATATTTCAGTGGTTGCTTTTGATAAGTCTAGAAGCATCTGTATGATCTTTGCCATCACTGAAAATCGTCTGCATTCTTTTGTGCAGATGCTTCCACAATAAAAGCAGGTGACCATATCAATTGGTTCATTGGTTGGTTGATCGAGTTAAAGGATTTATAAGTTGTCTTTTAGGGAATGCCTTCCCAGCATACAAAAAATAAAACCATAAAATGCAATAAAAATTAGAGGGACAAACCCAAGAATAAAATCAACTTTAACCAAACAATACCATAAGAGCAACAGTACCCAGTACTGCCCCAGTTCATTCATAGACCAAGAAAAATAGATGTCCTTAGGGCCTGCCTGAAGGCCTGTAATGATGGGGCCATCCTGTCATGCTGAAGCTACAGTTTTGTGGGTGGGTGTTCTCCTTGCTTGCAGCTTCAGCATTCCATTTACATTAAATCTCCATATTCATTGTATTCTGTAGTCGAGAAATCCCCAACATGCCTTTAATTTTGTTATTATTCTGCACCATCCATAATTTAACTACAAGTTTCATGATTTTAGGTATAAGTAGAAGTACCTAGCAAAAATACACTACTCAGCCAGCAATCCTATGTACACTTATGCAAGAGTAAGCCTCCCTGAATTTAGTGGGACTATAGAAGGACAAGTCATGCTGGGGAGAAAAAAATTAGTAAGGCTTCTGCAAAGAGATGTCTTGTCTCACCCACCTACTGGAGTTATATGGGAATGTTGATAAGCACTTATTCAGAGGTGATCCATTAGCCATTGTTTACATGGACTTCTAAAAGCCTTTTGACAAAGTCCCACACCAAAGGCTCCTGAGCAAACTAAGCAGTCATGGAATAAAAGGGGAGGAGGTCTTCTTATGGATCACTAACTGGTTAAAGATCAGAAGACAGAGAGTGGCAATAAATAGCAACTTCTCTCAATTGAGATATGTAACCACTGGAGTCCCAAAGGGTTCTGCATTAGGACCAATATGTTTATTATCAACGTATTAATAAATGATCTGAAATTAGGAGTAAGTAGTGAAGAGGCCAAGGTTGCTGATAACACCTAAACTTTTTAGGGTGGTCAAAACCAAAAGGGATAGGGAAGAACTCCAAAAGAATCTCTCCAAGGTGGAAGATGATCAGTAGAATGGCAAATGCAGTTCAATTTAATCAACTCTAGAGAGGTTGTGGGATTCCCCACACTAGAGACATTCAAGAAGAAACTGAACAGCCATTTGAAAGGGGTGGTGTAAATTGGTGTCCTGATACAGCAGGGGGTTGGATATGATGGCCTTCATGGCCTCTTCCAACTCTACTATTCTAGAATTCTAAGAGTAAAGAAATGCATGTTGGGGCAAAACATACCAACTTCAGGTATACAGCAGTGGGATTTGAATTAGCAGTAACTGAGCAAGAAAAGGATCTTGGGGTAGTGGTGAAGAACTTGACAAAAATATTGGCCCAGTGTGTAGTTGCTGTGAACAAGGCATGATTAGGAACAGAACAGAAAACAGAACTGCCAAAATCTTCCTTCCCCTATACAGATTCCTGGTGTGAATACACTTGGTATATCGTGTTCAGCTCTGGTCACCTTACCTGACCTGAAAAAGTACATTATTGAGTTGGAAAAGTACAGAGAAGGGCAATAATACTGACTGGGGGCTGGAGCAGTTTCCCTGTGAGGAGTAGCTACAACTGGGACTGTTCAGCTTAGCAAAAGGGTGAGGAAGGGGAGTTATGATGCAGGTGTTTAAAGTAATGCATGGTGTGGAGAAAGCAGAGAAGGAACCATTTTTAATTTTTTTTCCTTCATAATATTCAAACCTGGGATCATCCCATGAAGGTGATTGGTGGGAAGTTTGGGACAGATAAAAAGAAGAATTTATTCACACAGTGCGTAGTTAAATTAAGGAATACGCTACCCCAGGAAGTGGTGATGGCTGCCAATCTGGATGGTCTTAAAAAGCGATTGGGCAGATTCAGGAAGGAGGAGGCTATTAGTGGCTACTAGCCTTTCTGGATTTGTGCTACCCCCTGTAGCAGAGGTGGCGTGCCTGCATTCAGCAGTTGCTAAGGAGCCTGGGCAGGAGGAAGTCTTGCACCCATCCTGCTTGAGGGTTAATGTGGGCAGCTGGTTTGCCACTGTGTGTACAGAGTGCTGGACTAGACAGACATTTGGTCTCATCGAGCATGGCTTTTCTTATGTTCTTATCTTCTCAGTAGACCTGCATACAACTGTGCTGCATGTTTCTAGAGCATGTAACTGGGATACAGGGCCAGAAATGGATGTTTATTTATGTATTAGCAGTATTTATATTTCACCCCTCACATGAAGCAAATCCCAAAGCAGGTTATTAAACAAAAAAGTGAATGAAAAAGACAATAGTGTCAGGGGTTGGTGGAAAGATAACTCATGCCTAGGATAAAGCCAGAGTAAACCAATGCATTTTCAATACATGCCTATAACGTGACAGTCCTGGGACTTGATGCACTTCTGAGGAGAGATCATAGAAGCAAGAGGATAGATCAGAGGAGAGAGGATAAAGAAAAGCTTTAAAAATACAGCAATATAAGCTGTAAAGTTTTAAAATCCAGAACACACAATCCAAAATGGCATGACTTTAAAAGGATTAAATCTGGGGTTTGGAGCATTCAGGTTTAATAATTTTGCTTAGCCGGTCATTCAGGTCCAGAGTATTCTAATCAAAAGAGATTAGATTACCATCTTGTCTCAAGACACCTACAGTTTTTGCTCCCTTACCACTTCTAGCTGGCTGTGCTTTTCCATACTGCTTCAGCTGAGTTGGGAGAGTGGAAGCAGGAATGTGTAAATGTGTGTGCATATGTAAGACACTGCTTCATTGTTACATCTATTTACACAGTTCCTGCAGAGTTTTTCTAATGCTGCCCATTAGATCAGTCTTTCTAATTTAGTAGAAGTTTATACTAAGCTTGCAGACAAGAATGCCCCTCTTTCTCTTGCCTCGCACATTATTCCAAATGATCATCCTAAATTTTATGAAAATATATAGTTATAATGATACATTAAAATAGTTTGAATAGTTTTCTACTCAATGTAGGAATCATGTGAACCAGGAAATGTAAATCGAATCTAGTTAAATAAGTACAACATAACTTGACAGTTGGTTGAAAGGCAGGGGAGCCAGTTTCTATTCTCAAAAGTTTGGGGAAGTTTGCAAGCTGGCTTGGAATCTGGATCCAGGCCAATCATCTCTCAATAGACCCCCCCAACATCAAGTTCAGCCACATCCCCTGAATCTATTATCTCCCCCTACCATCTTCCAGGAATTGCTAATGGCTCCATCCACGGACCAGCACATCCAATTTCAATATGGTGGTACATACATCTAATTGCCGTTGCTTCTC